AGAGAGAGAGAGAGAGAGAGAGAGAGAGAGAGAGAGAGAGAGAGAGAGAGCGAAAGCGGAAGAAGTGGACGGATTTTGCGCGACTTTTGCAAACGGAGACAGTAAGCCGCCACAAACAACAACAAAGGCAAAAAGAATATCCCGGGGTGAAATTATAACTGAGCCAGCTGACATTTCGATAATGCTTGTCTGCACATAATATCAGCATTAACCATAATTTGAGAGAGGGGCTGAGAATCAGTGACTATAACTGATACGGCCATGAATCTTAACTTCAGATGTACTCAGGTTATCACATGTAGCTGATTCTTACTGACAACACACAATCAGTAACGATTACTTATTCTCGGCCCCCTACTCAAACCTGACAACATCTGCATACACCCGCAACGGCATTGTTAGCTTAGATTCGTCTTTGTCTCAGCTAAAAAACAGAACTGAGTATTGCCGAAGTTAGCTGAATCAGCTTACCTTACTGTGAAGTGCTGCCTGCATTCATGGCACGGCCAAGCCGAGGCGGCTCAGCGGCGTCTAGCCTAGCATGGCTACGTTGCCTCCGTCACTACTGGCCCTGCGGTTCGTTAAACAGTTAATATAAGGTAATCCAACTCACGGACGCAGCTCCCAGCTGAGCAGCTACTCACCTCTCGGGCGATGGCTTGCTGCACATGGCTGTGAGGTTATGTTGTCAATAACCTCTCAGCGCGACGAGCGGTGTGCTGTCCGACACAGCGGCTCTCAGCTGACTGACTGACGGTGACCTCACGTCGCGTCATGGATGTTCGTTGGCGCGTCGAAGGGGGTGCCTATGTTGCAGGCGCCGTGCGTTGCTGATCGTAACAACATTCCGACCTGGTAGCAGATGAAACTCCGGTTTACCCAAACTTTATCTTTCTCGCAAAATAAATAAATACTGGATGGAGCTGAGACTCCCCGGAGAATCTTGCAGTTTGTACTGTGCGGCATGGGGGCCGGGGCCGGGGCTTGCCTACCATCTGTCACCACGGCACACTGCGGCCCCTGGCGAGTAGGCAACGCCTTCACTCGCCAGCATGCGGTACAGACAGTGCGACATGCTCGCCGGGCTCCGGGGCCTGTAGGCCACCCTGTAAATACGTATGACCATAGCGGACGATTACCACAAATTGTGACTGCCTTTAGCTGATGGAGAAGCACACTCCAGGCGCGTTATAAGGGGTCTCTAGTGAGCCGCCTGAAAGGTAGGCAATTTGTGCTACAAAACCCCTGTATGTAGGCAACCCACGGTGCACCCGCCCCCCTGTCGCTCCCCTCTTATACCGCGCCTGGCACACTCCCGTCTACAGTGGGGCTTACCGGGGCTCAGGCTCACTAGGTATTTTTCTGTTTCGGTTGAAGGACTTGACCCCGCGTTCCCGCTGTTCCGGTGGACTCGCAAGGAGGGCCACCTCAGCACCGGGGACGCCGACTTCGTGGACGTGATCCACACGGACAGCGGCGTGTACGGCGTCGCCTTCCCCATCGGGGACGTCGACTTCTACCCCAACGGCGGCCGGCCGCGCCAGCCGGGGTGCAGCGCCAGCGAGCTCCGTGCCAAGGGGCAGTTCCCCCAGGACTTTGGTGAGTAGCACACTGGTCACATACGGTAAAAACGACATCGTGATTTTCAAGGAATTTTCGGAAAAAACAAGATGTCCTCAAGCATTTCAGCCATAAGACGTCTTGGTTTTTTCCAAAACTGCTTGAAAACCGAGGTGTTATTTTATTTACCGAAAACAATAAGTTAAATAGGGGGGGCGGGGTGGAAGGATCTACAGCGAAACTGCACACCTAACTATAGTTAGTTCGCGTGGGGTAGATCTGTAGTCAAACTGTAGTTGAACTGTTGAACTCCAGTTTACAGGTGTAGTTACACCCTTCGATCCTTCCATCCGGGATGAACTTTGGAAAGGGGGGGGGGGGCGGCTTTTTTCTTCTCCAGTATGTCGGAGGTACTATATTTTGAAACATTATTGTCCCCCACAGTGAGCTGCAGCCACTCGCGCGCCTGGCTGTACTACGCCGAGTCGGTGCTGCACCCGCAGGCCTTCCCCGCGCTGCGCTGCCGCTCCGAGGCGCGCTTCCGGTCGGGGAAGTGCCGCGACCAGGTCAAGGCGGAGATCCACGCGCGGGCGGAGCGCGCCTACCGCTCGAGGGCCGCCAACGCCACCGCCGGCGTCCCCGCCGAGGAGCGGGAGCCCACGGCGTTTTTCGCGTACATGGGACTGTGGGCGCGGAGCGGAGGGTGAGTGCAGCTCGGTGCAGCTTTAATAGCTAATTTTTAGCTTGCTAGCTTATTTTCAGTTAAATAGTTAATTTTGTATCCGACCATCAAATTTTTAGCCACCCAGCCATTTTCTGCTCAGAAAACATCATTTTTTAGCTAACTAGTTACTTTAGTTGACTAGCTATTTTCAACTAACTTGCCATTTTGTTAGCTAACTTCCTACGTATGTTTAACTAGCAATTTGTTGAGCTAACCAGCTACTTTAGCTATCCAGCTATTTTTTTTAGCTAATTTTCAGCTGCTAATATTTAACTAGATAGCGGAATAGTGACTTATTATTGTTGTGTTGCAGGAGCCGCGGCACTTACTTCCTCCAGACCAACGACGGCTTCCCCTTCTCCAGAGGGCTGGACTTCCCCAGGAGCGGCGCGGACTGACGGCTAGACCGCATAAGTCGCACGGTAGACAACGTAAAATATTTCCAAAAAAATAAAAAAAACATATTATACATTTTTTAAAATTGTTGTGCTGTGATTATTGGGGGATCGCTCTCATATTACATCTTCGGAAAGTTCTCATACGATGTAGGGATACTTACATCTACACCTATGCTGCAAGTAAGATTCTATCTCGCATATGAGTCTATATTAAAATTAACCCTCAAGAAGTTTTTTTCCTTGTGATGAACATGTCAATTAACATCATGGTTGGCGTGAACACGAGAGAGAGATAGGTCTCGGGCGAAATGCATTTAATCAGATTTTCTCTTCACCCGGTCAGTCTTGCGATTCCTCGAGTCTTAAAGCCAGCAAACCACAGCCTCCGAGGGAAAGGTTTGCTCCATAATAACGCATACCAATCTATGATCTCCTTAATCATTTATTTGACAGTATACTTGAAACACAATCTAAAACTACCACGACAAATTTTGCTCATATCCACACTCAGAAAACGATTCCTTTTCTTCAAAGCAGGGACAGTAGTTTTTAAATCATTAGAATTTCTGCCTGTAAACTAGAAAGTCCACCTTTCCATATGACAATTTATTGAATAATTAAATCGCACATTAACTTTTGAACAACGCGCGGGTTTATTTTCCACCTCCTCTGATTTGAAGAAAGCATTTTCTGGGTGCCTGTTGCATTACACTGGCACAAATATTTCTTCAATCATTAACGATCCACTAGAGAGCACACAGGGAACAACATTATTTTATATTATATGGAATGACCTCTATAACATTCTATATACACACGCACGCGTGCACGCACACACACAAATACACACACACACACACTTACACAGACAAACAGACAGGAAGAAAGAAAGACAGACAGGTAGGATGCTGGAGAGACATATGACATTGAGAGATACATTTCAGCCGCGCAACTTGATTTCATTTCTGCGTGAAGTGTCGCACAGAGATATTTCCTCCTGCTGGGGAGAGATGCTCTGATATCCGGGAGTCGTTTTGTTTCAGTGGTTGATAGGATGCGGTCCCGCCGGCCGGGGGAAGGGGAGGGTGGAGGGGGAGGGGAGGGGGAGGGGGTGCTATCACACGGTGGGGCTGGCAAGCTTGTGCTCGAGCTGCATGTTGCTCTCCGGGCCGAGGCCGACGCACGCCCTCAGCACGTTCTCGATGCAGGCTCGTTGGCGGAACAGCGAGTTGACCACGGTCCCTGCGCAGCGAAGGGAAAGCACAACGATAAGGACAATAAGCGCGGCGAGCCGGACGCAGTGGTGCCATGCGGATCAAAAACGGACGTTTCCGGACAATCATAAAATCGCAAAAACTCAGAATGCTGAAGCCTCAGCGGCCCCATGGTGTTTAACCGAGATGAAGACACACTGCAACTCGGTTAATCACCGTGGGGCCGCTGAGGAAGCAGCACGCTGAGTTTTTGCGATTTTATGAATGTCCGGAAATGTCCGCTTTGGATCCCCTTGGCACCTCTGGCCGGGGGTCAGGTTAGGCTCGACGAGGTGGGAGAGTCACTCACCCCTGGGCACCATGGGGGCCTTGACGAGGTAGCTCAGCAGGGCGAGCACCGAGTGGAAGGGGACGTACTCGTCGTCGCCGGCGGGGCGGAAGCCCACCCGGGTGCAGAACTCGGCCAGGACGACGAGGTCGAGGAGCAGGGGGGCGGCGAGCAGCGAGTCCTCGCACGTGTTGTGCACGACGAAGGTCTGACGGCCGCCGAACATGAGCTCGCCCGTGTACTCGTCCATGGCGCGCTTGCTGTCGCCCACGTACGGCACGTACTTGATGACGACCACGTGGTCCGGGTGCTCGCCGGGCGCGTACAGGATGGGGTTGGAGTCCACCATGTCGTCCACCACGTTCCTCTTTGTTATCTGGAACGCCAGCGGACGAACACACGCGTGAGATGCGCAACTTTTTTAGGGATTTTAGGAAAAAGAGGAAACTTTCCCAGAAAAAAAAATGGAGAAAATTTCCCAGGAAAACTAAAAAAAAAATGTTAACTTTCCGGGAAAAAACTTCGACATTTTTAAAAAGTCTGTGAACAAACATCCAGTGCTCCGCTGTTCTGTTTGCTCACCTCCTTGGACCTGAAGGTGTGCGGCGCGGAGAGGTTCTTGCCGTCATTGTTGCCCAGGTGGTTGTAGCTCACGATGGACGTGGGCTTGATGCCGGCGCTCACCAGGAAGTCGACGAGGACCGACTTGAGCTTGGTCTGGCCCGTCTTGAGGTCGTCGCCGACCACGTGCGTGCCGTGTCGCTCCGCCAGCTCGAGGCAGCCGGGCACCAGCGTGTTCTGCGGGGAGCCGTTGATGTAGGTGCACTGCAGGACAAAGTTAAATCGCGTTTTAAAAACGTGTCTTACACATTACTCTCTTTACCATTTGGGGATGCAAGTAACTTACGCCCTCCAGGATGGCGGCGACGGCATACAGAGTCGACGAGGACACCTCCGTCTCGTTGCGTTCGATGGAGGCGAGCAGGTTGTCGGCCGTGTCGTTGAGCCCCGGCCGCACCTCGGCGAAGCGCTCCGTGTTGGCGGTCCACAGCACGACCACCCGCTCCAGGCTCTTGGCCTTCTTGAAGTCGCGGATGTCCTCGCGGAGCCGCTGCACCTGCTGCGCTCGCGTCCCCGGCAGCACGTTGTCGGCGCGCTCCTGCTGGTTGGCGGCCACGAAGCTGCAGTCGAAGGCGGCGGCGCGCGGCCGCAGCTCGCGCAGCTGGGGCGCGAGCGCGCGCTGCACCTCCACGTCGAGCACGCGGTTGCGGCGCGCGGCCGCGGCCAGGTCCAGGCTCGACACGTCCCAGCCGTCCACCTCCAGGTCGTCCGGGTGCAGCAGGGGGACCACCCCGCTCATCGGCGCCCACACGTCCTTGCCGTCGTCGTCCGAGCCCACCCGCAGCGTGGCGCACTGCGTGAGCGAGCCCAGCCAGTCGGCGCGGCGCTCGCCCTCCTTGGTCTCCCAGCGGAGCCCGGCGCGGTTGGCCAGCAGCGCCGCCGTGAGGGTCGTGCCGTTGTTGCCGCCCCAGCCCACCAGCATCACGCCCGTGCGCTGCGGCCGGCGCGCCGTGCGCACCTCCAGCCACCGGCGCCGAGGCGTCACCTGCGAGGAGAGCAAGGGCTGCTTAGTACCTGGGATCCGCACCGCGTACTTCACTATGAACTGAGTTTTCTGTTTTCATTTTCTTGTTTTTGTAAATTTTCTCTAATTTTC